ATCTATAGGACCAGAAGTCTGTAACCAAACAAATCACCCCCTGGTGGATATTATAAAGAATGCAGATTTGAGATACTTATGCATCACCGTCACTTTTCAGACCCAGAAGCTACAGTATATCCATCTCTTTTACTATCTCTGCTTTTGCACATACCTGTTGCCACAAATCGTTATTTTTTTTCTAAATCTGTCTTCCAAAGAGAATAGAAATGACGGACACGTCTTTTGGATCTGAAGCCGACCTGGAAGTGCCTCAAAAACCTTTTGTTTTTACCAGCCAGCAGGCTCATCACAACTTGTTAGTCAATGAGTGTGTAGCTGCAGAGGCTTATCCACCGCTCATTTGGTCCTGACAATGCTCAGAGAATGCTAACATTACCTCAACAACCACTTGGTGATGTTACTGCAGCAATGTCAATCTTTTGTGCTGTGGATCAGAACCATAATAAAAATGTAGAGCAATGAATATTACACAAAGTCGTTGCTCTCTAAGGTAGGTGCCACGTGCCTCTGACTGTCTGTAGCTCAGCTGAAAATGTGCGTGACAGCTGATTCTTTCAATTATTTCTGAGAATTAACAAGATGCAACAAGACTCGCTGACAACGGCAGGTTTGGTTACAAGGGAGGAGAGTTTCCATTATTGATAATGCAAATGTAAAAATTAAAGGCCTTAACTGACACTTGTTGTTCATGTCAATAAATCATGTGGCTTGTGATTAACACTCCGGTGTGTGTACGTTTCAGATTCCTCTTTTCTGTCTTTGTGATGCTGTGCTTTGAAAGAGACAGAGCGTGTTTAAATGTCCATATTGTTGAAATGCTTTCAAAGCAATTATTATTGTTATTACCATTTACAACACAAGATTGAGTAACGTAAGACTACAATACATGTGGCACAACAGGAAACACAGGAAAAAGCTTCTTCATAAATAAATGCATTTAAAAAATCTTTATCTCGTGTTGTCCTGTCATTCATTGACAATTTCAAAAGATTTGGATGCAGAATGGAATAATTTCCAAATTTCAAAACCCCAAATTTTACAATTCTGTGTTCACAGCAGAACGTAGAAAACATCAAATGTAAGATGAGCTTGAATGTGTTCAGTCGCCGCTGTGAGGAGTCTTTCTCTTGATGGACAAAAAGGCTCCTGTAGCGCTGAGTTGATTGATGCAACTTTTCACTTTTGCAAAACTGATGTGATTCACACTGATTTAAACTGACTGGAGAATGAACATTCATGTGTAACTCTAGCTCATTACACATGTTTATATTTGCAATTTGCTGAATTTACCCGTTGTATTCACACAATTTAAATATATAAATTTTTTTAAACTGCAGATTTCCCCTTAATTTAAAAGCCGTCCCCATCCACCTCACGCTCAGCCGATCCTGCTTCCGACTACAAAACTCTTGAAAATACAAACTTTAGCTTCAGATCAATCAGACTTCTTCCAGTAAAGTGTCAGTTTGTGCAGGATTTTCCTTGAAGATGTGCTGCCAGTGTTTCGCACTGCTGACTCACACTGTGGTTCAATCCCTGTTCAGCTTTGTGGTTGACACATAAGCTCCTGGTAACATGGATTTGGTATGAAGTTGGCTGATTGGACAAAACTTCTTCCTTTCACAAGGCTATCTATCAAAATCTGTCCCCTTTTACCCTTCACTGCTCCCAAATCAACACAATTACTGGCGCTAACTCCTAGAATTAGCTCTTAAAGTCACACATCAGTCTGTTTTTGGGAGGACTTTTTGGTTTGTGGTTAAAAAAAGTATAAACTTTCAAGAGTGAAGAGAAATCATATGAAGTTGTGACACTGAGCATAAAGGCTACATGTTTGAAAGGTAACAAAACCGGTGCATGTAGAGTTAGAGAGAAGTGCAGCACTTTGATCCTGTTGTTTTAACTATCACATCGCTGATGTGCTCATACATGAAAGTGTGATCTTACACAAAGCTTCTCAAACTTTGTCTGGCATGCACATTGCAGAAGTGGGGGGAAATAGGCTAACACCCCACATTTTTTACAAAGTACAAAATAAACTGGATTTTTGTGACATGAAGATCAGCACGACTGTGCTATTTTATTTTCTCTGGATTCGTTTAAATTACAATAGTTTCACTCTTTGATAAAAGATGTAAAGAGGTCGGGTTTCTCAGGGATCCTCATCTTTCTGCCACAGTCCTCGTCGTGTCCATTTACAACACTGCAGAGCCATGAAACACTCAATCCACATTTGCCTTCATTAGACGAAGAAATATAGTGAAAGAAAAGAATGACATGCAAGAGGTCCAGCCTGCAACACTATTAACACTAATTCCAGTTTTACCTGTAGAGTATGACACCTGCCAGTCAGGTCCCAACAAAGGAAGAGCTATTGTCATGATGCTGATGTGGTAAGACCACATGTGGACCCAAAGGACCTGAAAGCTGCTGGTCCTTCACCAGGTGTGACCCAGGTTAGATAGATTTTCAACTGTATGTTTGCAGGACTTTCACCTCCTTCCTGCGTGTGCTGTGATTTCTCAACACTGAATGTTTTATATTCACTGTTACAGAGACTAGTGTGTAGAATTAGAAAGAGGCGGGATCTTAGGTAGTCTTTCTTCACCTTGTATGAAACTGGCCAATCACAGTTGATGATAATTCTCTAAATTAGCTACGGCTACACTGATACTGGATTCTCTTCTTCTGTGCTGATCTGTGGAGAACCTCGTTGCTCCAGATGAGGCTCTGTTACATTGTCACTTTATCTATTCGTCATGTTGTATATTCAGAACCTATAATATACTCATACCACAGTCATGCTGACAATAACCAGCTATACTGATCCAGGCAGCTCTAATTCCCTTCTTCACTGTAAGATTCAAAATCCTTCAGCTAGAACAAAATAAAAAAATAAGGCAGCCAGGTTTCCACCACAGTCACTGCCCTTTGTCATATAAAATCTTAATCTGTGGTTTAAAAAAATGTGGACCACCACCATTTGTTTTGGACTAAACATTAGCATTTGTCTTGATGGTTTTGGGGCAAAGAATTAACCAGCGAGCAGAAAAAATGAGAGCTGAACCAGAGCAGCAACGTTTCTGATGCTGCTTTGTTATCTCTCCCACCTACATCCTTGTTAGATTTTCTAGCAAGCTAAAGTTTGTGTTCAAGAAATATTTTCTACCAACTTTTTATTGATTAAGATGAAACACACAAAAAATAAAAAGCTTTAAGCCTCGACTCTGATGCCAGACCTCTTTTACATCCACCTCTTGTCCCGTTGAGCTAATTAGCTTCATAAGTTAAAAAGCAGCATTCCTAAGTTTATGTTGTGGATAAACTGAATCAGAATCAGACGTGTTCAGTTTAATTTTATTTATATATTTCCATTTCACAACAGTCACCTCAAGGTGCTTTATATTTTAAGGTAAAAGGAAATCCCAACAATCACACAACATTGGAGCAAAAGATGATGCTTTAAGTTCACCATGTCACAAATGAATTACACTTGAAATGTAACAAACTGTTAGTGGCGTAAAGACATTTTACTTATATATTTTATTTATTGATTTATTGAGTAGTATTCAAATATCTCAGTGAATACAGCATAAAGATCTACCACAAAGCATGAAAGCACGAGACAAGGCTAATTAAAAGGTATTGGCTGAAGCATATATGCTTATTACGCCAACTCTTTTAACAAAAGGTCTTTTAGCATGCAGCTCATGTACACAGGGCTCGAAGCAAAGAGTGAAACAAACAAACAAACAAACAAACAAACAAACAAACAAACAAACAAACAAAAAACTTTCCAGCTTAGATAAGTAACTACATTAAATTAAATGTCATTTCAGAACATAATAAAACATAACGTAATCAAAGCAAAACAAGAGTTTCAGTATTATTATTTTGCCCTTTTCATTCTTGATGTATGCTCACAGCGCAACCACGTGCTGACCATTTTAGTTAAAAAAGACAAACAAACAAACAAAAAGCACAAATGCATTGAATTCCTTCTTTGCAACATCAGCCTGTCTGCGGTGCTCTGCTATTGAACTGCAGCCATTTATGACCAGAGAGACGATGTCAGGGTTTCAACCATGTTTGCTGGGTGTGTAGCGAAGACGTTATAGTACTACGTTATCAGCTTATGTTAGCAAAAATGATCAGCAAGATGCAGCTAAACTATAAGCAGTATTGTGCAGACCACATATGCAGTAGTCATGACTGTATTTGAAGCTATTTTTATTTTTGTATGATTTTATATGGAATATGGCTGAAGTAAACTAAAGCCTAAAATACTTAGTCAGCCATTTGTTTAATACTAATTTAACATTATAAAATTCACATATAAAACTATGAATTGTAATTTTAAATGGTTTAAAAGCAGGTAGAATAGCACATGTAGGCAAGTATAGAGTTAGATGAGGCGAAGCCACCGAGAAGTTTAAAATATATTTGCATAATAAATAAATAAATTGCATAAAATAAATATTTGGCATGATTAAATTTGGGTATCACTGGTAATTGGCCAAAGTTAAAAAGGTAAGTTGTACAAAATAAGTAAAAATATTCAAAATAAATGTTTGTACCACAGTTTTTCGTCCCGCTGTGTTTCCTCGGTGAAATGTCTCATTATCGCTTTCAGTGCCAGAACTGTAGGAAATCCTTTTCTCTATAGATGGCACCTCTGCACTGTCACAGGCTGCAGCAGGTCGATGGTGTGGTGTTAATTACTGCCGGGACCTCCTCTGGAGCAGATAGCTTATCGCTCATGGGCTCCGACGGGGGAGCTGTCAGGGGGCAGCGTTTTCAGTGCGGGAATCGAACCAAAGACACAGCCTGGTTTTGTGTTTTAAAGTGTGTGTAAACGAAATTTCTATAGAAATAAATGTCATTATGAGCGGGATGATTAATACGATTCAAGAGGAGCCTGTCAGTGTGTAAATAAACTAGGACGTCTTTGACAGCCTCCACCCAAGAGCCTATAATGTTACCGGAAACAGCCGAACACAGCCGACGCCTCCCGAGGGTGTGTGTGTGGACAAAGTGTTAGGGATGCTGCTCTTTCAGAGCGCGGCTACCGCGGACGGTCAGGGAGCAGACCGCTGGCTTACCGGGAACACTAACCAACGCTGAGGCGGGGGAAGCTCCACGCACGGCGGCAGCTGAGCGGAGGATTTACCTGACGCTCCTCACGGTGCATTTACGGACCTTTTTCTTATCCACCTCGGGGAATTAGACCAAGTGTTGTGGGACTGGAGGAATTCCAAGACTCTTCGCTAACTGTCTGTAATCTCGGGACCCCCGTGCATTCATTTCTTCAACATCTTCTCCGAAATGCAAACGTCTAGGAAACCCTAGAATATGGTGAGTTTAAAGGTCTTTTCCCTTTTAAAACGGCTTTTTCGTGGAAAGTGTCACAAATGGAAGAAATGCAGCGCCGTGTGGTGACAGCTGTTAGAGAGGAGCGTCCTGCAGAATGGACACACTGAAGGCGAGAACGAATTTTGTATTCACACAAGTCCGTCAACTCTCACTCACACCTAACAATGCAGTCTGCACAGAGGGAGCACAACAACACCCAAACTATGTTTTTTAAATCTATAAGAAGCATATAGAAATCATCTTTAAATGAAACAACAAAGCCTGCCTCCAAAATCTCAATTGAATCATTTAATGTAAATGTGAGAATTATATAAATGTAGCTATCATATGTCATATGCAGGTACAGTATGAATACTGAATTACAGTCATCTTTTTTTTTTTTTACCATTTATTTGTAAATTATATACGCATTATATATGATTTGTATATTATGCTTTTCTGCTAGATGATCATATTGCTGCTACAGTTGTGAAAGTGTTGCCCACATTTATGGGAATATTTGCGCTGTCACGAAGACTGTCACAGTAGTTTTTCCCCCTATGGTGCGCTGTTATTTTTGGAATCAGGGTTTTTTTAATGCAGTTTGACGGGAGCATCTCTCCGTACAGGCATATAATGGCACAGTTGTTCTGCGCACTGAAAATCTTTGCAAGTCAGGGCACTGCTCCCTGTCCTTTTGTGTAAGATGTCATTTCTGCAGCAATGTGCAGCACCCTCATTAATCGGTCATTATTAAGTTACCTTATTAGTTTCATTAATTGCAGACTCACAAGTCTTTCTGTTTAGACTTTGTCTTGGTGACATTAATTAAAATGTACAGTTTAATGCGTTTTGCACGATTATGATAAATGCACGTGTGAGACTAGAGCGACCTGCGGACTTGTTAACGGAACATTTTAGTGTGAAACGGTTAAATGTGCCAAAGCATTACGTGAGTGGGCTTTCTGAAAATAATACAGGCCTAGTTCGTGCACAAGTCTTTCTGTATTCTACTCTACACGTAAATTCAGTCTCGGCTCTGTTGTGTGGCAGCCCGCGTGTCCGCTTGCTTATCCTCGCACGGCTTCATACTCAGCCTTCATTCTTCTGGCAGTTTCCTAAAACAAGAATAGCGAACTGTCCTGTTCGTGCTACTGATGCAAAAAATCAAATTCCCGCAAGGCTAAAAAAGGGCAAAAGAAGAGGGATGGGAGTGCATGACTCGGTGTGACAGAGTGATAATTGGCTGTCAGCTCACCTGGATTTGACGAAGCTCTAATTAGGCTGGATGGAAAACAGAGACCGAGCGAGGCGGGTGGAGTGAAGGAGTGCAACAGATGGAGGGAAAAGGGGTGAGGACGGGGATGCTGGATAGCAGGTGGAGTCACAGAAGCAAGATGCAGAGAGAGAAGACGTGGAGGGAGTGTATTCTTTGTATGTGTGTTGCTCATAAATGCATCAGCTGAAAGCCAGCACTGTGGGTCTGCGTGTTTGTGTGTTGCTCCTCTCACCCTAGTGAAAGCAGCAGGAGGCTTGGCCCTGAATGCTGAATGCTTCACTGCTACACACACATGCATATACACACGCACACGCCGGTGGCATTTATAGGATTTCTTAAATTAGGTGGCACAAGGGGGCCGAAGAACATCAGATTAGAAATGATTACAGTGTAGAAAATTGGTTTAGAAAACACCGAGCATCATTTTCAGGCTAACACGCAGCTCTGTGCTCTTGTACAGATGCATTACATGAAAAGTGACATTGCCCAAAAGTTTAAATGTTGTTTCACAAAACAAGAAATTAGACTCTACATGAGTAAATGTCATGCAGGTTTTTCTCCTGACATATCCTGACAAATAATAACCATCTAAAGCTGTTTCTGCATCAGACACCAATTAAAACATTCCCTCCATTCTATCAGTCACATTTTCACATGTGAACTTTTCTATCGCCATTTGTGAAAGAAGTGAATGGATTTTTCTTCTTTTTTTTGCGGCTACTTCTCAGAAGCTGTAGCTTTGAATGATTCCAGGACCTTGCTGTCAACTGTCACATGGCTGTTCCCTCAAAAAAGGTCATATGAAAGCTATTCACAGCACTGCAGGTTTTCAGTTTGCACTCTTCAGAATTGCTAATAATTACTCACTTAAACCACCTGGACCTCAAAAACTGGGTTTAAAAGGCTAAAAGTTTGCACATTGCACTTTGTCTGGCAACGAAGGCAGAAACAGCGTCACACTTCTTTGTGTTTATAGCTTGGCACAAACCAAGAAGGGCTTCAGCCGATTAAGTTCAGGTCTGGAACCAGAATTAGCTGTTCCATCAACCACATGAGCAACGTTACAAATAAACCAACATAAATCCAGCTGGATGCAGCACACACACACACACACACACACACACACACACACACACACACACACACACACACACACACACACACACACACAGACAGACAAGTATGTCATATTTGAATCATACACATCTTTTTCATTAAGTTATTCACCAAAAATGTCGAATGTGATATTCTGCTGTGGAAAAACTAACTGCAGCATCATCTCCCTTTAATAAAAATGATTACTTAAGTGAATCATTTCTGAACAGCTGACGTCATCTTGTTGAAACTTGGGCAGTCTTGATGCTTTTCAGTTTGAGGCTTCACTCTGGTGTACTTAACAGAGTTGCTAAAAAGTTTTTCTTGTAGTTAACTAAAACTAACAAAACTTTTTAGGTGATTAAACAAGAAAACAAAACAAAAGAAAAATATGAAAAAACCTGAAAAGTAACTGAAATGTTACATTTATAAAACTCCCTGAAATAAAATAATAAATAGACATTACATTGCTTTAGATTTAGTTTTTGTAAATTTGGTCTAATTTGTCAACACAGCCAGTCTGAGGAAGCTTCCCCTGACGAGCAAATCAAAACTAACAGCGAAAACTATTCAAAGACGAAACTAAAGCTGAACATTTTAAAATAATTAAATCTAAGCTCTGGAAAACTGCCCACTCTGGAAACGAGCTAAAACAAATCTAAATTACAAAGAAAAACCCTGAAGTCTATCAAACTTTGCTGTGGCCTTCATCAAACACGCCTGCTGTCAGGTCAGGAAACTCTTTGATTCCTCTGTCCAGAGCACATTATTCTGAAAGGCCTGGTCTTTGTATGTTCATGAGTTTTGGAAGCACCTTTGTTCTCTTTGGACCTCAAAGGATTTTTCCCTGAAATTCCATGAAAGTCAAATGTATGCAGTGCTTTTCTCATAGTAGATATATCTTCTTTGGCAGCTTCAGAGTCGCCTACAAAGGATGTGAAGACATTTTCGAGATCTTGGTGATTTCTTTTTGCATCAGTTTATCTGGTCACGGGCAGAACCTTGTGGAACAAAGTGAGAGCTGCTTCAGATGTACTTGAAGATTATTTCTTTCAGTGAATTTATTTTACAATTTTAGGAGAGCCCTTTGGAGTGCCAAAGATAGCCAAGTGGTCAACTGTTTAAATACAGTGGGGCAAAAAAGTATTTAGTCAGCCACCGATTGTGCAAGTTCCCCCACCTAAAATGATGACAGAGGTCAGTAATTTGCACCAGAGGTACACTTCAACTGTGAGAGACAGAATGTGAAAAAAAAATCCATGAATCCACATGGTAGGATTTGTAAAGAATTTATTCGTAAATCAGGGTGGAAAATAAGTATTTGGTCAATAACAAAAATACAACTCAATACTTTGTAACATAACCTTTGTTGGCAATAACAGAGGTCAAACGTTTACTATAGGTCTTTACCAGGTTTGCACACACAGTAGCTGGTATTTTGGCCCATTCCTCCATGCAGATCTTCTCGAGAGCAGTGATGTTTTGGGGCTGTCGCCGAGCAACACGGACTTTCAACTCCCGCCACAGATTTTCTATGGGGTTGAGGTCTGGAGACTGGCTAGGCCACTCCAGGACTTTCAAATGCTTCTTACGGAGCCACTCCTTTGTTGCCCGGGCGGTGTGTTTTGGATCATTGTCATGTTGGAAGACCCAGCCTCGTTTCATCTTCAAAGTTCTCACTGATGGAAGGAGGTTTTGGCTCAAAATCTCACGATACATGGCCCCATTCATTCTGTCCTTAACACGGATCAGTCGTCCTGTCCCCTTGGCAGAAAAACAGCCCCATAGCATGATGTTTCCACCCCCATGCTTCACAGTAGGTATGGTGTTCTTGGGATGCAACTCAGTATTCTTCTTCCTCCAAACACGACGAGTTGAGTTTATACCAAAAAGTTCTACTTTGGTTTCATCTGACCACATGACATTCTCCCAATCCTCTGCTGTATCATCCATGTGCTCTCTGGCAAACTTCAGACGGGCCTGGACATGCACTGGCTTCAGCAGCGGAACACGTCTGGCACTGCGGGATTTGATTCCCTGCCGTTGTAGTGTGTTACTGATGGTGACCTTTGTTACTTTGGTCCCAGCTCTCTGCAGGTCATTCACCAGGTCCCCCCGTGTGGTTCTGGGATCTTTGCTCACCGTTCTCATGATCATTTTGACCCCACAGGATGAGATCTTGCGTGGAGCCCCAGATGGAGGGAGATTATCAGTGGTCTTGTATGTCTTCCATTTTCTGATGATTGCTCCCACAGTTGATTTTTTCACACCAAGCTGCTTGCCTATTGTAGATTCACTCTTCCCAGTCTGGTGCAGGTCTACAATACTTTTCCTGGTGTCCTTCGAAAGCTCTTTGGTCTTGGCCATGGCGGAGTTTGGAGTCTGACTGTTTGAGGCTGTGGACAGGTGTCTTTTATACAGATGATGAGTTCAAACATGTGCCATTCATACAGGTAATGAGTGGGGGACAGAAAAGCGTCTTACAGAAGACGTTACAGGTCTGTGAGAGCCAGAGATTTTCCTTGTTTGAGGTGACCAAATACTTATTTTCCACCCTAATTTACGAATAAATTCTTTACAAATCCTACCATGTGAATTCATGGATTTTTTTTTCACATTCTGTCTCTCA